AGACAACTGACATGGTAAGAACACTTACTGCATCATACATGTAACTCCCGCCCCTCCACCAGAACCCAGAGTTGAGGTGAATATATGATTTCCCTCGCGCGTTGCCGCGCGCCCAACCTCGTCAACTTTGGGTTCGGGGGTGGGGGTAATCTGTATTGATGTGATGTACTCTGTGGCCGCACTGACTTGGCGCGATGGCTGTGGACACTATCTGTCGGGCACCGTTGCCTTCTGGAATAGAAAAGGCTGAGAAGGGTAACCCGTTACGCATCCGCCTTCCCGGTGAAAGGAAGAGCAGAGGAAGAACGAGGATGAGCAGGAAGGGAAGACAGGAGGAGGGAAGAGGAGGGGGAAGAGGATCATGAAAAAAAGGATGACGAGGAGGATGCGGAGAACGTAAGCGGGACAGAGGGGGGCATTCTTTCGACGTCAGCAGGAAAAATATAGCAACGTTTGCGGTCAGCAGGCGATCCTTGCTGCGCACTCTGCGTAAAACCCCTGGGCCGGGAACAGACCTCGCCCAGGACGCTGCCATGGACACACAGCTTAGGCTGCAGCCTGCGTAGAAAAAAGACACCACCCTGAGGACCCCTGATTGGAATTTAGCATGCCTCGTGCTTCTGTCTGCGTGAAAGGATGTGGGGAGAAGCCGAGCTTACACGTATGAGAGACAGGGCAGATTTAGGCTAAGCTGAGCCGAGTGCTGGTGACGTTGGACTTAAAACTACAGCTACAGCTGTGTAGCCAAAGTCTAGCTACCCTTCTCCCCTTCCTGCCCTGTGGTTGCTGCTGCTGTTACTGCTGTTGCTGTTGCTGATGCTGGTGCTGGTGCTGTTGCTATTGTCGGCGTGGTTGTTGTTGTTGGTAGTGTTGTAAGTGCTGTTGCAAATGCTGATGGTGGAGTTGGTCGTGGTGGTGTTGATGTTACTGTTGGTGGTGGTGTTGGTGTTGCTGCTGTTATTGTTGTTACTGTTGTTGCTGATGTTGGTGCTGCTTTTGTTCTTATCGTCCTCCTCGTCTGCGACCCACCCGCGACCCAACGACCCATCCGCGACACACTCGCGACCCACCCGCGCCCCACCCGCGCCCGCCCCCTCACTCTGATCCGCAAGTGCGGGGTGCTACGCATGCTTCTTCATCGGATCCCCGTCTTCGAACAGCTCGCCTGGGCATCGTTTCTGGAGGGGCTGGTGAAGATGGGCGAAGCCTGTAAGAATACCTGAAGCCCGGGCATATCGCGGTAGCAGACCGGGCACCAAGCACCAGGGACCCCAGCAGCCCCCGAACCCGCGGCCCGGGGCCCGCAACCCACCTCCCCGTCGGGTGATCTGACGGAGACTCGACGGCGACCCGCCCGCCCGCTCTGCCCACCCTCCCCCCTCGCTCCTGCGTCCTCGCACCACCCACCCCCAGGGGCAGACGGCAAGGGACCTCAGGGAAACGTCGAACGGGCGGGCGCGAGGGCGGGCTGGCGCCCACGTTGGCCCCGCCGCCTATGCCCTCCGCGCTCGCGCGGCTGGGTGCCGCCGGCGGCTCACGCGGCCCACTCGCTGGCCTCGGCCGCGCTGCGGTCCACCGCGAGGTGCAGGTGCTCCCTGACCGCCTTGCTGTCGGGCTGTCCCAGGGCGGCGTCGATGTTCACCCAGCCGTACAGGGGGTTGTTCAGGTAAGCGTAGTCGCCGCGGCTGGCCACGCCAAGAGGCCAGGTGATGTTCGGCACCACCACCAGCGGCGAGTTGGGCGACAGGACCGCAGACCAGAAGGAGTAGGAGGAGTCCGCAATGATCAGGTTGTCCAGCTGGCTCATCATGTAGAACTGCACCCAGTCGGTGATCTCCTTCCCTCGGCAGCGGTATTGGTCGATCCACGGCTCCGGGCACTTGAGCACCGGAACGATCTTGTCGCACGCCTCCAGCTCCTCGCCCACCTTCTGGGCTAGCTTGATGTCGTCCGAGAACAGCATGCAGGTCAACTGGGACGTGTTGCGGTACATCTTGACAACCTTTAAGCCCTCCCTGTAGTAAGACATGTTGAGGTTTCTGCCAGCGCCGATGTAGTCGCCGAGGCGCAGGTGGACGCCCACCACGCTGCCCACCGGCGAGTCGTGCTGCAGCCACCCGTCCATGACCGACTTGGCCGTGGCCGCCGACTCCTCGTGCCAGAAGAGGCTCCGGATCATGTCCAGGTGATGGACGAAGTACTCCGCGCTCTGCCAGTAGCCGTCGAGCTCGACGATCTTGCACTTTGTCGGGGTCGCCGTCCTGGTGATCGCGTCGGCCCACGTGCGCGCCCAGTTCTGCGTGCGCTCGGGCTTGGGGCCGTCGGCCTGCAGCTGCAACTCGCCCTTGGGGACTCCTCCCAGGGTGAAGTTGGACAGGTTCTCCATGTTCCAGTCGAGCTTGACGGGGATCCGGTCCCAGATGTGGCACTTCTTCGGCTGGCTGCCTAGCCACTGGAACTCCTTGTCCTGCCAGATCAGCGGGCCCACCTTCGACAGCTGCGGTGTCGACTCCGGGTTGTACTTGGGGTTGAAAGGCGCGGCGACTTTGGCACCCGCCTCTGCAGCGATGGACACCAGGGCGGCCCACTGGAAGAGCCGGTTCCCGAGCCTGGCCCTGTATTGCATGGTGAGGGCGAGTTCCGGCTGCGTCTTCGGTTCCCCTGTCTCGGAGGCGTTGAACTCCCAGCTCAGTGCGCGCAGCAGGTTCTCTGCGGACGCGCTGCCCTCGAGACGCGCCATGGCCCCTGCGGACGTGATATTTTTCAGCTTCCGCCAGAAGCTGATCTGGACATCCCCGTCCTTCAACCTTACTTCTCGGAGGCCTTGAAGTTCGGCCGCGGAGCTCCAGGTGGGCGCTGTGGCGGCCTCGGCGGCGGGCGAGACATGCACAACGGACTGCACTAGCGCAAGCGCGTCCTCTACGTGGCACTCGACAGGCTGAACCACGAGGCCGATGGCAAGGACCCGCGCGACGACCCGGAGAGCCATCGAGGAATGAAATGTAAAGAAGTGGTATGCTTGGGCGTATCCCACGGACACTGCGATTTCAAAGCGACCGTGGATGGGGAGCCAAGAATGGCTGGAGCCCAAGTGGTAATGAAAAAGGAATGGAGAACGAAGAGTTGGAGAAAAGGGAGAAGAAGGAGGGGGAGAGAACGAAGAGTAGCCCCTCCCCGCCCCTCCCCCTCCTCATGCTTCTCCGCCGCCCCCCCCCCGCTCTCCCTCCTCTTTCTCCTCCTCTTTTTCCTCCTCCTCCTCCTCCTCCTCCTCCTCCTCCTCCTCCTCCTCCTTCTCCTCTGCATACTTTATCTGGTCACACCAGCCCTCTGGGCGTGGCTTCGACGAATAACAACATTTCCCAAAACAGTGCTTGCACTCAGGGGCTCATACTCCTGGAATGCGGAACTGGAACTGCGGCCCGCTCTGGCCCCCATGTCACCGCCGCCCGTCGCCTCGTCGCCGCCCGCTTTGCATTGCTTCGCGTTGTTTTGCATTGCTGTGCATTGCTTTGCATTGCCTTGCATTGCTTCGCGTTGCGTTGCATGGTTTTGCATTGCTTTACACTGATTTGCGTTTCGTTGCATTGGTGTGCGTCACTCTGCATTGCGTTACATGGTGTTGCGTTGCTGGCTTGCGTTGTTTTACATCGGGGGGCACTGACTTGCACTGGTTTGCATGCACCACATACCTACACCACATATCTGGCCCCACGTAGCTTGCACCACAAGCATTGCACCAAATAGATTGCACCACGTAGCTCCTACCAAGGTTATTGCAGGACAAAGCTTACGCTACCAAAATGGCACCACATATATATATTGCACAACATTTATTGCACCACAAATATTGCACCACATAGCTTGCACCATAAATATTACTCCATATAGCTTAAACCTCGCATGTTGCACCACATAGGTTGCACCACATAGGTTGCACCACATAGGTTGCACCTCACAAATTGCACTGCATAGGTTGCACCACATAGCTTGCATGACATAGGTTGCACCACCTAGCTCACACCTCGTACATAGCACCACACAGACTGCAACACATATAACCCTTTCTCTTTACCTTCCCACGCCAAGGGGTCTGTGGCTAGCGTCGCTAGCAACCACCAGCTGGAGAGGCATGCGCCAGGCCCCTCACCGCTCGAGACCTACCCCCAAGACCTCAGGGGACCTCCAGGCAGCCCCGAGGACACCCAAGGAGTCTCTTTGCTGGATACCCCAAGGTCGAGGCCCTAGGAGAACCCGAAAGACTCCAGTCCAGGAAGCTCGGCCCAGGGAACCCCGAGGGACGCCGAGGCCTGAGGAGGGCTAGATCGGAGCGGACAGGCGGCTAGCCTCTAGACAGCGTGGGGGTAAAATCGCCTCGCGTCCACGAAGTAGGCCAGGCACTACTATAGGGTGGCGCGGGCGGGAACCACAAAGAGATATACGAAAGGATGCGGCGTTTCTCGGTTCCCGAGTGTTATGTTACAATCGTCCCGATAACTGCTCATAACACTTGCTCTTTACCTTCCCACGCCAAGGGGTCTGTGGCTAGCGTCGCTAGCAACCACCAGCTGGAGAGGCATGCGCCAGGCCCCTCACCGCTCGAGACCTACCCCCAAGACCTCAGGATACCTCCAGGCAGCCCCGAGGACACCCAAGGAGTCTCTTTGCTGGATACCCCAAGGTCGAGGCCCTAGGAGAACCCGAAAGACTCCAGTCCAGGAAGCTCGACCCAGGGAACCCCGAGGGACGCCGAGGCCTGAGGAGGGCTAGATCGGAGCGGACAGGCGGCTAGCCTCTAGACAGCGTGGGGGTATTCCACGGACTCACAAAAATTGACACGGGAGCATTCACGTGTCGTGTCTCAAGATCTCTCTCACAGCGTATTACACCTGCTCTGACTCTCTCTTGCAACAATTGACTGATGGAGACCACGCGCAAAGTGTTGGATCAGCATATGGTCATCTGGGGCAGGAGTGACCTGGACTATGTCTGCAACCGCTCGCTCAATATAAATCTTCGCGGTCGTCGCTGAGCCCCATCTGCCTCTCATTATCGTTGTCTCCATACTTCGATGCGACATGAAGTCGTACGTGGCACCACCACGACGGCATGAGTACCAGGAGAAGCGGAAATCCTCGAGGTGAAAGGATGCCAGCAGCTTTTTTCAGGCAGCTGCGAAGCTGCGCTGGCGACCGCGTGCTGATCGTGTCCAGAGGCGCTGCGTGTGCATACCAGCGCTTGACTAGATCCACGGCGATGGGGCAGTCGACAACGACCATCTCGGTAGTGGCTTTGCGGTACCCTGTCTTGGTCTCAGGCAAGCGGACAATCACTCTGTCGTTGATAATCGCAACTTGCTGCTTGAACAATGCGAACAACTCTGTGGTGCGCAACAGACCTGCGAAACCCAATGCGAGGAGGGTGCCGATATCCACAGCGTCGCACTCGATGGCGAGGGCGGCCATCCCCAGAATGAGCTCTGGTGTGAACGGCAAGGCGCGAACAGGCGGTTCGCATCGCCTCCAAGCTTTGAGCAGGCTCCATGACAACCCCAAGCTCTGTTTGACTGAGGGGAAGAAGAAGCCTATCGCGGCGACAACATAGTTGGCAAGGCTAACGGGCTGGCCTTCGCTCCAGAGCATCTCTATGTACTCGGCGATGCCCTCGTCGGTGTCCAGCGGTCCTGAGGGCATGAGGCCTATGGCATCCCAAAAATCGAGGACGCGCTTGGCTGCTGCCCTGTAGCGGTGGAGCGTGGTGGAGGTGACTCGGAGCAGCTTCAACCGAGTACCACGCTTCGCTGAGTGTGCCTTCCTCGCCTTTTGAAGGAGTGCTTGCGGACCTTCTGGGGCTGTCGGAATGGCTGCCCTGGCCCCCCCGCCTTCCACTGGCGTCTGGAGGGCGCGTCGGCGGGGTTGTCCTCTGTCGTGATGTACCCGATGATGGGGTAGAGGCCTCCCGCCGCACAGAGGGCGGCCCACTTGCGCAGGAGCCATTGCAGCCTGGTGCTGGACGACCGCCCCTTCGTAGTGATCGCTGCCACTACCTGCGAGTCAAACAGATGGACAAACCTGGCGCTGAGGTGCTTGGTGGAGCGAGTCCTCCACAGCAGGGCTGCTACTCCCGCCTGCAGCTCGCGGGCGTTGATGTGGAGGTCAATGCTGCCCTGCCACCTCAGCGAGACCACGACTCTCCAGTTCCAGTTGAAGGGGCTGATGCTCGCCCGCGGCCACGCCTTAGGTCGATAAGGCAGGCCCGCGTCTAGGCGAATGTCGCTCCCACTGCGATCACTTAGTGCCAAGAACTCGCCTGTGAACTCTGAGGCCAGCTTCTTGTCGTACTCGGCTGCGCCCTTCGTGCAGGTGCCGACCTCACCCCAGGCCAGCGGGCACGCCCCCCGCGCGAACAGAGCTTCAGCAGGTAGCTCGCGAGCAAGGGGTCCTCGAGCCAGAAACAGCTGCTGGAGGAACCAGGAGACCGAATACACTGAATAAGAGTTGCCCAAGAGGAAGCTCCTCGTGTCAGCAACTCCTTGGGCCTCAGGGTCCTTGTGGGCAACCCTTGTGTAATGCTTGTCGAATCCCAGCAGGGCCTCCCTCTCCTCGGGGTTAGGCGTGCGGAGGCTCCCATCCAAATCGTTCCGAAGCATGGAGGTCTCTTCATGCCAGCCCAAGTGATAGCGAGAACAGTCCAGCTCCCACCTCCTTTTTGCAGCATCCGAAGCAGAGCGGAGGCCTGCAGACATCGCAGGTCCACTTGAGGCAGGCCGCGGGCACGCAAGCGTCGGAACTGGAGCAGCACCGCCTCCCCAGGTCCAGCCAGCAGCGACCCACTGGAGGGGGGCGACTGAACCGCTGACTCGGCGCACGACCAGGAGTGACCCGCTGGGCTGGCGCAGCACCTCGACTGCGAAGCCCCCGCGAGTCTGCACGGGCCAACTGCACCAGTAGTAACGCGGCCGACGTGCAGGAACAAATACCGAGGAGCATAGCTTGACTGGCGGGACCCCCAGCTCCTTCGTGATAGCATCCCTCACTTGCGGACTCATCGAGGCAACATTCTCAACAAAGGTGGCTAGCTTCTCCTTGAAGTGCTTACGAAGGGGAGACCGTGGACCCGCGGGATCTCATAGAAGAGCTTCGAACTGGGGCCAGCCAGGCCTGCCCGCGACAGATTGACTGCGCTGAGGTCCTGACAAGGGCTGCCCGCTCCACAGACGCAGACGTCGCACAGGCCGTAGTAGGTGTCAGCCAGCTTAACGACGTCCTTCTCGGAGATCGATCGGATATCACCCCAATCTGCGGTTCCATGCCATCGGAGTCGCACGACTCGTCGAGCAGGCTTGTCAACCTCGCTGCACACCATGCCGATGATGTCGACTGGCAGCCTGGACACTGCCACAGCCAGCGCGGCGACACCGTCGAAGAGGCTCACGATGAGCACCCTGGGCCGCGGCCGCCCACCTGGCAGCGACGGGGAGCTGCGTGCGGGCTGCAGGTCGCTGCGGCCTGGCCCCAGCACCGGCCTAGCTCCCTGGCGGGCGGCCCTGAGCTGCTGGACTGCCAAGGGCGTGAGGCCAGTGGAAGCGCACACTCCACCACCAGCCTCCGAGGCATCCGAGACGGTGGCGACTGGCGACAGCGCCGCCCTAAGGTCGGTGCACGCGATGGGCAGGTACCTGATGCACACAAGCAGCTCCTGGCTCATGCCCATGTTGATGCGTCCGCCTCTCGTCCTGGTGGAGAACTCCCAGACCGAGTTGAGACAGCTCAGGAGCGGCCGCCTGAACTCCAGGGCCCGAACGGCGCGGCCCAGCAACGTGAGCATAAGCAGCCACGGGCAGTACTCGCGGCCCAGGGCGTACAGAATGTAGCGGACCAGCTCGATCACCTTGTCGGCAGGGGCCCTGATCGTACCAGCGCAGCCGTCGATGGACGCCCCCATCCTCTCGAGCTGCAGCTGCCGTGCATGGCTTTTCTCCTCCGCGTAGGCGACCTCTGCCTGGGTGTAGGCGCGCCGCATGGCGAGCTGCATCTCGCCTGGGGTGCCCACGACTCGATACGCCTCTGCCGCCTCCAGGACCTCGGGCGCATCAAAGCCATCGATGTAGACCTGCCACCACGCGTGAGGATGCTGCCTCGCCAGCGGCCAAGGCTGATCGCGCCTCCACTCCGCTCCTGCAGGCAAGCCAGCTCCCAGACGCGGTGCTCGCAAGGCCAGGCGGCGGTGCAGGTGCTGGAAGAGGTGACTGCGAGGACCCAGCCCATGGGGATGACGCGGCACGCCACGTAGACTAGGTGGTCTCCAGGCAACCCAGCAGCGCTCGCTGGCACGGGCACCGAGACGGCCATTCTGCCATACCAGGCCGGCGGCAACTTCCACACATAGAAAGCGCCCTTCTGGTCGTCGCTGCTCCACACCATAACACACCCTGCTGGCAAGTGGAGGCTGGTCCATGAGGTGGAGGCCGCCAAAGTCGACGTGTCCTCAACGATGTTGCGGAGGTAGGCGTTGGAGGGTATCATGTTGAAGATGAGGCGCGTGCATCTCGACTGGCCCTCGAGTGGCTTGCCCTTCTTCTCGCGAGCGAACAGGCCGTTGAAGACCTTCTGGCCCCGCGGCGCAAAGATGTCCGCCTCGTCGACCACGCCCAAAATGCCGAGGCCAATCAAGTGCTCTGCGACCTCGTACCAGTCCTCGAGCCTCTCGCAATTGACTCGGGCGCGAGGAGGGTCCAGCGGCCACTCCGCAACAGGCAGCGTGGCAACTTCAGGGTTGATAAGCCACTCCAGGATGTGCTCGTCAACGAACTCCTCCGTCTGGAGCTGCGCGGCATGCTGTTTGTCGGGAAGGCCTGGTATGAGCTCCGCTAGCTTGATGGGCAAGGCCTCGCCCTGCTCCTCACCAGTGTAGTCGACCCTGAGCTTGCTGATCTTCTGGGACCAGTCGATGTCGGGCCGACGAGTCAGCGGGTCATCTAAGAAGCCGTCAACGTGGGAGATGATGGTCTTGTAGGCGGACCGCTGGGCAAGATGTAGCATTGGCGAGTGCCTCCACAGACGAGGGTCACCGCGACCAACGTACTCGAAGTTGAGAGACAACACCACTATGTATGACCAAACTTCTCTGGCGACTAAGCGCCCCTCAATCCTGAACCTCTGACGCTTCCTTCTCGGTCCGTCCTGAGATGCGACCCATGCTCGTGTGAGCGTAAGGTCGGGGAGGGCCATCGGCAACTGGTCACGCGTCCTTACCTGCGGCCCTCCAGTCGTGGGAAGGCGTGGACGAAACTCACGGCAAAACTTTCCAAGGCGGCCTGGGTGCTGCCACTGCGAGGTGACGACGGCGATGCCCAAGTCCAGTAAGTGCGGCGCGGCGGGCACAGCTCGAGTCACAGCTGCCCTCCACGCGGCCAAGTCAGTGCAGACC